CATTCCGCCAAAACGCTTGGTCCAAAGGTCGGCAGGCCTTCTCTCGCCTCAGTATGAGGCTTACAGCACGACTACGCAAATCAAAGCCCAGTCCCCCAGTTACGAGGTTCCCTGAGAGTAGCTCCGGCCAAGATCGCCATCGCCAAGTCGGGGGATCTTTACCGGTTGGTATAGCGCCCATCGTGGAAAACTCGGGATCCCTGGCTGAGTCTACAGAGACTCACGTCGACCTTCAAGGCGAATCAACTCAGGAGTCTCCTAATGTCCGCGACCGGTCAGCTGCCGCCACGAATGCGCCGGTTTCGCTCCAAGATTTCGACCTTCAGGCGATCCATGCTTTATCTCCACAAGAGCGTTGGGAATGGGGCCGTAGGCAACTAACAGACTTCAGAACACAGTATGCCGTGTCCACTGTTCCGATAAGTGACCCAGTCATGATCAATAGTGGAACGCAGGCAAACCTTTCGGAAGATTCGCTGTTGTCTCATCGTCCACTTACCAGACGTCATTCTGCCTTGGCTTTCGTTGGAAACACTTTTGGCACTCACGACTACTGGGACGTCTTTCGGGGAAGTACGCAGACTTTCCATAATCGTCCACTGAGCATGAGCGAAGCGAATTTATCAGACGCCGAAACCGTTGTTGAACGAATCAGTATCGCTCCTACCACACACCAATTGCTGATCGATACCTTACATCGAGATCGCCGCGGATCTGAGTCTTCGCGCCCTCTTTCGATGCACAGTATTGTGCACGAATGGCAGCAGTATGCTCGGAACAGGGCGGAGGTTCGACTATCGATAGACTCGGCAGCGACTGGCGGTGCTATTAGAAATATCGCTATGGGGAGGGCGCGTGCAAGCAATCGCCTATCTCGTAACTCGATGAATCGGGCGTCCTATTTCTACGATACAGAACTAGGAGGGTCGAGAGTTCAGCTGCCAGTGGCGATGGAGACCGAGCGCAGCGATATACCGGAACACGCTAGCTCGCCTACCGTATCGCCACCGAGCCCCGAAGCAGATGTGAGATCACAGGGTTGAAGTCTCGATATGTTTGTGGGGCTCCGTAAGGCCCGGAAATCAGGGGCTCTTCAATCGTCAGTTTCACCTTCGTATACGATGCTGCGGTGAGTTACTACGGTCTCTTAAATCATTTCATTATAACGCTGCACGAGCTCTCCCTGATACTACGAGCCAGATAGCCTAGGATGCATTCCTTAAATCACCATCACGCCTCACGATATACTGTTTCTTAGTTTTCTTTCAGCACAAATGTATACAAAGAGATCACTCTGCTTGCCTTTCACGATCTTCGAAAAGACCCATTTGTCAACATTCATCTCATCTTTGAATATATCGTGACTGCTTCAAGGGTTGTACTGCTTGCGCCAGTTCCAGTGAACATAGTTTGGCTTATGATGTGATTCAGGGCAGAGTGAAAGCCCACGCCAAAGAGGTCGTGCACGAGGGAGAGTGCAGCTCCCAGCTACTCAGCTGTACTTAGAGTCGAGCCTCCAAGCATTTCTTTCGCTTCCACAATTGGGTGCACTCATTGCTCTTGCGTGTGATCTCAACCAACACCATGACGCAACCAACAGATGCACAGGCCTTTCTCTCTTCCCTCGAGTCTCTCGAATGTGCTATATGCATGGAAGGATACGACGCCAATCACCGTCCTATCATTTTCGAATGCCGTCATATCTTCGGCGAAAACTGCGTAAGACGTTGGATCGAAAGTGGCAATGGTTTGTGTCCTAATTGCCGCGCGCCTTTACATGGAGAAGAGACTGTTGTCCCAGCAAGCGAAGAGGTTCAACCTCCACCAATCGAAGTACCTACAGGCATTGTGCGAGAAGAGCCTGTAGTTCCAACAAGCCAAGAGATCCCACAATTACCAATGGAAGTACTGGCAGACTTCATTCGAGAGGACAATATGGTTCGATGGAGCCAAGAGCCCCAGCAGCGACCGGTCCAAGTACCGACAGACTTCCTTCAAGAAGACTACATGGTTCGATGGAGTCAGGAACCCGAGCAAGGACTGGTCCAAGTACCGACAGACTTCATTCGAGAAGACAGCATGGTTCGATGGAGCCAAGAACCCCAAGAGCAACGGGTCCAACAACCCCAGCAGCGCCCAGTCCAAGTACCCTCTGAGGTTATGCGCGTTATAGCCCGTCAATCCGATTGGGATGTGCTAGTAAGTCAGCGTATGAGGTGGCTAGTGTCTCGATCAGAACGTCTTGTGGCCTCTCTACTGCGACTACCCGGACAGGCTGGGGTCAAGCTAGGTCTACTTCGACGGAATGGTGCAGATGACCGGTCCGCTACTCCTCGTGCTCGGAAGCGCCTGCAGCGAAACCCAGAACATCATCCACAGGCTCAGGATACCCGTAGGATAGCCGATGCAGCACGTCGAACGGGAAACGATAGAGGCGACACTCACCAGGCCACCCGCGAACCAATCGGCCGTACTGATATGCAACGGCTTACGGACGGACGAGACCGCCATTCATCCCGTAGCGTTTGGCAAGCGCTGCGAGACCGAGCACAACCTTCTCGTGCCCATCGGAGACGCCAAGAGGATCAGGATCGAGAGTATGCACAACTCCTCCAGCGTACATACGATGAACAAGATGACGCGTATGAGGCGTACGACGACGACTTTGACGTACCACACCGGCCTACATACTCGATACGTGACGGTGTACATAGGATCCGCGAGCCACCATCGAATGCCTATATACCTCAGCGGTTTAGAAACGCAGGGCTTAACGGCTTGTATGATTCTGTCTATGAGTTCTACTAGGGCCATCTTGTGGAAGGTGAGATCAGCTTGGTCGTGTGAAGCGCTGAGTGCTAACGGGTAGTCAGGGCTGAAGAGTGCAAGGGAGAATAAAGCCGTATCGGATGATGCAATTTTTCAGAATCTTGAAAGCGTACGCAAGGGTATATATCGGCTGCGCGTTTCATTGTCTGTAGCCTTACAATGAAGACGAGGTTGATGGGAGTTCATGGAGAGCCATTCTTGATCATGCTGTTTATTATTCAAATATAATGTAGAGTTGGTCAAGCCAGAACGGCCAACATTGACTTACCAAAACTACACCGCGATGTCCGTTATTCTCACCAGTCGTCAATCATGTCATTAAATTCTTCACTCTCCACATCCATAACCTTCCTCGCTGCCTCACTTCCACTAACTGGTAGCATCTCGAGCCCACCATCTTCATTGTCATCCTTCTTCTTGAACTCCTTAGGCACCTCTTCAGGATCCATGAGGCCGACCTGGAAAAGCACAGAAGCCTGGTCCCAGTAAAACCTCTCGCACCATATCTTTCCAGCTCTGAATCCCACGATGCTCACCACGACTATCTCGACTTTCTGGTTTGTTGGTGCAACGCCAGGAAGAATCCAGGGCATCTGGCATGTGTGTTTGAACTGGATGTAAAGTTCGTCTACTATTCGATCGACGCCTATTGTGCGCGAGATGAGCCGCATGTGCATTGATGGTGGGGCCGTTTTGAGAAAGTAGTCGCGGTAGAAGCGCTTGAGATCTGGATGGCCGCTTGCCCCGGTCATAGTCGGAGTAAAGTTGACGTATGGTGTCGGGGTTTTGGTATAGGTTTCGAGGATCTTATCGAGCGATTTTCCGCGGTACTTTTCTGTTGAGTGTTAGCTTTTACAATAGATACGATTGGTCGCCATGCATACGCTCTTCGTTTTCCTCCCATAGCCGCTCCAGATCTACCTCGGCGCTGAAGCCCTTTCGAACAGTGCTCAAACTCCTGCTCCATGCGATAGCGTCGGCCACGGCGTCGTATTCATCTAGATCGTGCTCTGCAAAGCCTGCATCAACGCCCTCGTATGTGAAGCACGGATACAGTATCTTGTCCTGTAAGCCTCCCGCGCCAATACCGTGCGTGACGCGCTTCTGCACCGTCCGTCGCTTGCCTTGTATGCCAAGAACTTCGGGGCGACGCGTCACACCAACGGTGATGTCGTTTCCGGATGTGCCCTCGGCTAGATGTACGAGCACGCGAAAGGACGATGTGAAGCGGTGACGTGTATCGGGAATGGAGGACGGATAGTAGGCGATGAGGGAGCAGAGTTTCGAGGTGGCGGTTTTGGGTTCCGAGTAGACGTCTAGACATACGGCTGCAGCGTCACCGAATGCTACAGAGCCATGGTCAGTACATGAGTCGGAGGGTGCTGGCGCAGAGCACGTATACTCGTGACATGCGCCAGAGTGTGAAAGGGCTGTATACCCACGATTGCGTAGCGTTCCCCAATGCCCATCTTGTCCCCCAGCTTGTGAAGCGTCTGCACGTATTGCTTGCCACCTTTGCCCATAGGGATGTATTCGACAATGAAGCCCTCGTCGCGCCACGCCTTCATAGTCTCGATGTCGAACTCGGCGTCTTCGGCTGTGATGTACAGCACGGGCGTGCTGCTCCGGAACGACAGCCAGCCATTGCGGTCAGCGAGGAATTGTTGCGCCATGTCGTGGTCCAGAGTCGTTGTCGCAAAGGCAGGCGCGCTCACGCGATGGCTGCGGGAGGTCCACTATAGGCAAGCGTAGCTATGCTGGTTCCGTCTTGGTAGCGTCCGATGATGGTTGGGACGTTGTCAACGGTGTAGTGCGATGCGCGGTGGTTAGGCCAGCCCTTTGCGCGCGGATGAACAAGGTCAGACCATTCATGGATGCAACGGCGCATTTTCGGTGCGGGCTCACAAGAATCCTGCTCGAGGCTGGTTGCATGAGGATTTAGTGGAGTCGTGCCTGTCTCCAACTCGTGAATGACGTAGGCGCTGTAAGCCTCCTTCGGGACTAGCCGGAATGCAGCAGGAAACCGCTGTCGCAACACCGAGGATCCTGACATGTTCATACTTCATGGGATATCGTTGACGGGATCCATGCGCTATGCGACGTGCCTGAGGCTCATCCTTCAATTTCATCCTTCAATTTCATCCTCTTTCTGTAGCACTCTTGCGAGCGACATGTCTGGCCACGAGATGGAGTTCAAGGCGACTTTGGTGCCACATCGGTCCGACTCGACAGCAGCGAGACAACCGCCTGCGTACGATGCTGCTCGGCTCTATACGTCCGTCTCGTCTTGCTAAAACTTCCTAGGCTATCAGACCCAGCCATTGACCATCGGCTCTGGGGTCTGAATGCTGGAGATCGTTCTCGTGTTCTTGGTCTCTACGATCAAGGCAAGAAACTCGTTCCAAGCTACAACAAAATCCAGAAAAATGTCCAAACGAGGCAGGACCAGATCATGCGATCTGTAAACGGAACCGACGATTGGGATTGGTTCATGCACACCGACGTACCAGGATATGATGGGCTTGAACTGCGAGAAGAGCGCCTTGCCGTGCAGGAAGCAGCACTTAGACGTGAGAAGATCAAGTATTTTTTTGAGCGCGATCCCGAGCTATGTCATCTCATGAGAGAAAGAGAGGCCGTCGAGCGCCCTATCTATCAGGTCGCTGCGGCCTGCGCAGATCTGCAGCTATGCCAATCATTCACGGCAATCATCCTCCAGAAGCTCCCTCGCGAACTGCGAGACCAGATATACAACTATCAGTGGACAGAAGAGCACATCAGAAGCCTAAACGACGCTATCTCATTTGTCCCCAAATATCATTCCGCCGACGAAGCTGGCACAGGAGTACAATATCTCCCTGTGCCACGTTTCGCAAACGCCGCGTTGGTGGGCGAGGAGTTCGCATCTGAAGCTGCAACCACGTACTTCAAGGACCTTTCAAACGTTGAGCTTGACTATCGCTATGTCCGCGCCTACCTTGAACGCGACCGCTTTGGTTCCATGGCATTCTCGTTCAAGGATGCTATACGACGTCTCGTCATCACGATCGATGAGGACTATGGTAATATCTATTCAGGAAAATGGATAGCATGCAGGGCATTGTACGACAACATGAAGAGTCTGCTGATGCTGAGAGATCGTCAAGAACTCAGTGTTGAGATATATCTGGAGTCAGATATGTAATGGAATCTGGCCCTCTTCCAGGCTCTCGAAACCATCAAACCAGTATTCTTGATGATTCGCGAGGCCAACATGGATGTCAAAGTTCTAGGCTACGACTTCTTCAGCACAACCGAAGATTACGATGCAGACGTATTCTCCGAACAACTCAACTACTACCTCACTGCGGGTACTCCAGAAGAGTGGCTGGAGATGAAGGCCAAAGAGATCAAAGAGATGCCGCGGGGTCCGTTTCGGCAGCGATGCAAACGGGTAAGTGGTCCATTATTTTCAGCGAGAGACCAAGCTCATACCAATCGTAGACACTGCGAATCATGCGAAAGAACCTTGAGTCTGTCATGCGAGATTCTCGCAAGGCCGCTGAGTCTGCTAGAGCCAGCGTATAACTACAAGGCACGTCTTGGCAGCGCACACAAAGTTTGACTCCATCTGTCCGTCGTTACTAGCTTCATGTGTTTTCCAGGTATCCTCTAATCTATTTCTTGTGCGTGAAGGTACATGTATCACTAGAATCGTCATGTAGAGTAGGCGGTAAATGGTAATGGGATTTAACTTGGTCCCCCGACCGTGTGCTCAACTTGCTAGATCAAACAAAGCTGGCAACCCAGACATCCATCGCCCTGACTCCCATTCTGCCCCCCTGGATGCCTTCTAGGCTTGCCTCACATACATCTCGCAACGCAAAAATAACTCCCCGTTCCCTCTCATCCTTCACATTCACCTCTATCTCTCTCTCAAAAGAGGGAGAGAGGCAAGCGGAGACTTCCCATTGTCCATCCATCAGTCCCTCGTCACTCTGCACGCGCGTCTCGTTCTCCAGCTGCCACCCGGCCGCTAAAGCCAGCTCGATGAGTCGTTTTGGGCCCAAGACAGTGCGAACATTCGAGATGCTGTTGCCTTTACGGCACTCCAGCGCTGCCTGCGTAAGTGCTGCTAGTACATGAGGCTGAGCAGATGGATGTGTCGCTATCAAAGACCATTCAGAAAGGAGAAGACGCTTGCTGTGCTGTCTGATGGCACGGAAGGTGGAGAGGATGAGCGAGGGGGTGGGGAAGTACCATAGACAGTGGGCGAGCACTGTCGCGTCAAAAGCTTTGTCGCTGCTGGTGAGTGCCGAAGAGATAGAAGACGATATGGGAAGGGAAGAGAGGTATTCCAGGGGGGGTTGTTGAATCCACGTGATTTGTTTTCCGAGCGGTCCTTGTGAGATGTGATCTTGTGCTTGGCCGAGGGTATACGGAGAACCTAAAAGGTCATAAACCCACTACGTCTATACGCCTACCAGGAAAGCAAGAAAAAAAAAATAGTTCGGAAGGACTTACCATAACCCAAGTCTGCTGGATCGACGGCCACTACGCTCCCTTGCTCGCCAACGGCGCAAGCAAGGACAGTCGTACAATCTCCCTGCCCGCACCCTAATTCGAGCACCCTCGAGCCATAAGAGATATTCCATTGCTGGAGGAGCCTTATACGGTGGAGGGTTTGGGCGTGCTGGATGCTGAAGTTACGAGGATCGTGCAAGGAAAGACGAGCAATATAGGCGGCGTCGAGTTCGGCAGCCATCTTGAGCTCGATAGGTGTTGAATAGAAGACTGCAGATTCTTGGATTGCCAGTTGGATTGTGAGGGCCTTTATTCAACTCCAGTACTATTAGGCAGAAGCTGATAAAGATAAGGCGAGTATTGAAGATGACTCAACCGCCTTGTCTGAGTCAAAACCTCCGGAGATAAGGCACGACGTGGAGATACGTAGGAGGATGCGCACTAGATTCATACCACCTTCCGAATTAGACTGCCCTGTCTTCCATCTTCGTTTGCACATCATTACAATTTCGACCTAGGCGCCTCACCATCGTGGTTCCATCCTGGCATGTCCGCGAGGTCCTTCGCACGAGCCGCCCTTCTTGACTTCAGCGCATCACCAGTACCAGGACGCCATCTCCATGCATGCGCGAGGTCATCTGCCAGTGTACCTTCGAGTAACTCGACCACATGCTTACCAATGTTTGGAAGTAGCTTGAAGGTATGGCTACATATCAGGTCAGTAACTCAGCAAAACAGCATTCGTAACGAGGAAGAAACTCACCCGCTATCTCCGGTAGCAAGCACGAAATTCTTCCAATCAGGATGTTCGCACATCAAAAGTGCCGCATCTGCTGTGTCTGTACACCAACACAGATGTCTGTTGAACAACTCTTTGTCTGTGAACTTTGGCAGGAACGTCGCAATAGCTTTGCGGATGCTGACCTCGGAGGCATCCGGATAGGTATCTGTGGGATGCTTCGCAGCAGATCTAGGTACCGAGATGCGCTTTGGTGCCGATGCGCCAAAAGGCTGATGTTGCTTGAAGCGTGTGAAGCCTGGAAATTCGTCGCAGACTTTGATGACGCCGTGTTCGTCAGGCTCGAAGAAGAAGCCCACGTCACCGTTGTAGACTACAGGGACGTTCTTGTACTCTGCGGCTTCGCTGGGAGAGAGTTGAATGTGGGCATATACCCATGCCTGAAGACGTTAATTTGGAAGTAGTTAGCTGAGCTGAAATAACATACCTTCGAAACACACTGGTCTTGCAGATCGACAAGCACGGGACTCCATGCACCAGCCGCAAGAACCACCTTGTCAGCGTAATACCTTGTGCCATCCACCGTTTCAACACCAACGCACACACCTTCAGCCAAAAGAGGCTGCTTGAAGGATCCTGCTCCACCGAAGCCGAATTTGACGCCTTGATCGCGCAGATACCCACCAATGGCATCGATGGCCTTTGCTGCAGCAAGCCAGCCGCCGTCATCGCTATAGACAGCTTTCCAACCTTTGATCTGTTCGCGATCTAGGAGTGGGATCTTCTTCAAGATCTCGTCCTCCGAATCTAGCCATTCTGTTGTCGTCTCTAGGCCAGCACCCGCGTCGAGAAGAGCCTGGTAAGCTTGCTTGAGGTCCTTGAGACCCTTTTCACTGTGGGCGCAGTCAAGCTGCAAATACCATTAGTCTCTAAATATATTTCTTGCTAGGTTGCGCTTGAAATACTCACTCGACCGGTGTTGTGAAAATATTCTTTGAACAGATCGTCTTCTTTCCACATCTGTCTCGCCTCCAGACTCAACTGTAAGTCCACTTTGTTCCGCAAGCGGATGCCCATGATCTTGTTCAAGTCATTTCCAGCCGATTGTGACGATGGTATTGGGTACGTGTCTAGCACTGTGATGTTTGAAGGTTTGTATCCTGAGCGTACGAGATGTAGGGCTGTCGACGACCCTATCGTCCCGCCACCACCAGCAACGATGACGGACGTAGTCTCTCGCGACGGTGCCATGCTGAACTATCAAAGTCTATCGCGCTTGAAATGGCTCGCGTGTTGGAATGGGGAGGCGCTGCCGGAAGTCGTTATCAGTAACGACCCACGATGTAATCCCGCCGGTTAAGTATCCCTAGAGGCTGCACACGCCACCAGCACGGTGACACGATGGCGACGCATTCTCCACGCGCCAGATGCGAGCACGCGAGGTTTTGATTGAGTAATTGAGGCCTGCCGTCCCAAGGATCGCGGCCGTTCTCGCTTGGCGATCCCGACTGTTACCCCTTCCAAACGGGGTTAGGCTGGCGGACGTCAGCGATGCGTCAAGCAGGGGGGGCTCCGTTCCTGCCCGGTTTGAGCATGGAGCAGGGCCACGACCTTCCATGCTTGACATTGCGATAACGAAACTGGGTCTATGCAGCCAAAGGGCGATATCAACAACGCTCTTTTCTATAAAAGTCGCCCTCAACCCGCGGAGCACCTGAACAGCTGACTCACGCCTTGCATCGACCCGACATCCAAGCCTCGCAACCATGTCTAGTGCAAGCTTACCATCCCTTAATCACATTAGTTTCCAACCTCCACTTTTCCAAACTGTTCGCACTTCCATATCCAGCCTAGTCTACACTCTCATCTAAACTGCCCTTCCCCTCGGAAACCGGTCTATCACCGGAGCGATTGACTCCACAAGTCCCTATCAGCTGGACGGGAACGACTCGTTTACCCCAGCTTGGGGTAACATAGTTCCGGGATCCACAGATAAGCCGATGCTGGTCGCGCGGACAGACGGTAGAAGGTAAATGTGTGCGGGAGAGACATGGTGTATATAAAGGTCGCGTGCGATGCCTTTGATCTCGCCTCAGCTCGAAGCTCAGTCGCACCTGCTCCGTATCGTTTTTGGTCTTCCCAGTAGGAGTACTTCAAGATGTCTAAGTTCGACGCTGCTCCTCCCAATACACATGCCGGCGGCGACGACGATGCGCTCTGTACAAAGGGCAACGACCCGCTCAACGCTCCTCCAACATACGATGTCGCCGACGAGAGAATCAATATGGAAGAGTATGCTAGAACAGTTCCAAAGTGGAAGAGAATATGGCAGCACAGCTTGACGCAGATGCTGCTACTCAGTGTGCAGGCTTTCTGCGGTCCTGCTATGGCTGATGCTATTGCTGGTAAGTCGTCTTTGAGCTCATGAAACGGTACTTGGAATTGATAAGTTTGCAGGCCTTGGTGGAGGTGGTCTCGCTACTCCCCAGACTTCGAACATCGCGACCGCTGTCAACTACACCATGCTTGCTGTCTGTTGTGCTCTCGGAGGACCCATCGTCAACAAACTCGGAACGAAATGGGCTTTGGTCATCGGCGCCTGCTCGTTTCCAATCCGCGGCTCTTCCTACTACTGCAACTCCAAGTTCGGAAACCAATGGTACTTGATCTTGGGCGGCTTCTTCACTGGCGTGGGGACGGGCACTTGGTATGTTGCAGAATCCGGAACTATAATGTCACTCGCGCCAGCTGGATCTCGTGGAAAGTACCTGGCACTTTGGATCGTTGCTAGAAACTTAGGGCAGCTTGTCGGTGGTGCTATCAAGTGAGTTTTACAGACTGAAGCCCACTTCGCAGCAGCTAAAACTTGTGTCACAGTCTGTCAAAGAACCACGAGAAAGGTATCGTCGGCGGCATAACTCCGGATACCTATGTCGCCTTTTTGATCATCGAATGTATGGCCTTGCCATTCGCCTTCCTCATCTCACCTCTTGAACGAGTCGTACGCTCAGACGGAACGCGTATCCTTGTCTCTGAAAAGATCGGCACCATTATGGAGTTCAAGCAGATCAAGATCACGATGACGTCGAAGCTTATTTTGCTTTCCGCATTCTGGGCCATATGGTCGTTCTTCTACAGGTCAGCCAACACACGATCATAAAGGAGCGGCAGCTAATTAGCTATTAGTGGGACGTGGTCGACCTATCTTGGAACCTACTTCAGCGTCCGCGCCCGCGCTCTCTCCTCCCTCGTCTCGCCCTTCTTCTGTATCGTCGGTTGTTTCGGTCTCGGGTTCATCCTCGATCTCAAGGGTGTCAGCCAACGTCGTCGTGCACAAATCGGTCTCTTTACCGTCGTGCTTCTCAACCTTGGTGTCTACATCTGGTCCATCGTCATGCAAGTCAGATTCAACAGCAATGACCCAGGCAAGATCGACTGGGATGACTCGCTGTATGCGCGTTCTTTCTTGCCATACTTCTTTGTGCAGACGACCGGTCCTTTGTCGCAATCTTACATGTACTGGCTACTCTCTTCTTTCGCAACAGACGCTCAAGGTATGTCTCATCATTCGGCAAGTCTTCTTGATCCATCGCTGATGATATACAGCAAACGTACGTAATGGTGCAGCTTTCCGCTGTCTCGAGGCCATCGGACAAGCCATCTCGTACGGAATGAACACCCAAATCAAGACATCCCCTCTCATCGGCTTCTGCGTCACTTTTGGCTTGATGGCACTTGCGCTAGGTCCGATGCTGGTACTGGTGAACCAGACGCCTGATCGCATCCCCGCTGATGTGATTGCGGAAGAGCAGTACCGCGAAGAGAAGAAGATCGGTAATGTGAACGTCGAAACCAAGGTCTAAGGCCTGTTTAATTAACGATATCTCGATGAGACTGGAATGGATTTCTCTATGCGCTCGTAGTATAAAGCGTATACAATGCCAGAGACGGGTTCGACATTGCCATCTGACATATGCACCAGCTGTGTGACATTGCAACTAAATATGCATAGTTGATTTCTGGCATATAGGATAGCAACACTCTGGGTGATGCTTTGCTGCAGATATGATTAGAAAACAGTAATGTAGGAGTGTGTATATGATCTAGCCGCAGAGGTTAGAGATTAGTCTTTTTCCTCCGCGACAAATAACTAATCAGTCGCTAAGACATTACAAGCTTTTGTCTAAAAACCTTCGCATAAATTGCGGCATGGATCGTGGCCACACATAGTGCGGCATGTGAAAGAGGGAAATGTATTAATAAGCTGCGAGTCGCCCTTCGGATTGCCGTCACTAGAACCACCCACTGCACTAGCTAAAAATGATTTCATGTTGTTTTGATGGATTCAGTCTCTTCGCTGAATACGCTTTGCACCCAGACACATTAATGCATGAGTGGCGCGTCAGGGAGCTTGACTTCTAGCCTCATTGCCCATGTTCGATATCCTCGTGGAGCGGCATGACCCTTGCATCTATATCCCATTGAATACAAGCTTCAGGCCGGCACTTAAGGTTGTATGCTAAGACGCGTGTTGCTGATGAGCTAAGCACTAGCCGAATGGGGAAAGACATGGAGCTTTGTTGGCAACGGGCCGATCGATGAAGTATGCGAGTGTTTGGACGTGTATCAGATAGTGAATCGAGCCAGACTGGCGGCTTCCTTACGTGCGTACAGCGGGAGAATTCATGTATACCTGGCCGACACGATTAAAAAACAAGTGTACATAAAGACAGTATCGGGCGAGCAATAGAGGACAACTTCCATTGGCTATCACAGCAGCCTTGCTCCATCCTTTTGTTTGTCAAGCCCTCAGTTTCATATTTAAAGATGACTATCACAGCAGAGAACAAGTTAGAGTACCCCCAGGGTCAACTCTTCGTGCACACCATCGAGGAGAAAGCGCAATGGATACCGAACAACATGTACATGCGTTACGCGCCGGACGACTGGTTGCACAGGGGTTACAAAACGATTACATGGAAGCAATATGCAAGCGCTATCGATAAGATGGCTTTCTGGTTTGACGAGCGGCTTGGTAAAGCGGTGGATCGCGAGACGGTTGCTTATTTCGGGCCCAACGATCCACGTTATGCCATATTGATTCCATCTGTTGTAAAGCATGGACGGAAAGTAAGTGTCAAGTCGTTTGGTGTGATCTCACGGCTGACAGCCTCTGTATTTGCTGATTCCCGATGGACGAGTGACCAAGGAGGGGCTTGCGGGCTTGATTGCAGCAAGTAGTTGCAAAGTATGGCTCTATCCAGAAGACGATGCCGCAGGGCCGTTGGTCGACATAGAGTCAGGCTTGAAGCTGTGTGCTTTGCCGTCGCTAGAATGGATGCTTGACAACGAAGGGCAAGAACAATACCCGTATGACAAAACGTTTGGAGAGGCCAAATGGGATGAAATCGTCATCATCCATACATCAGGCACTACTGGTAAGCTGTCTGAAATGATCTGTTATCTCATAAGCTTACTTCTCTTTAGGCGAACCCAAACCTATCTTTCACACAAATGGCATGTGGAGCGGATTAGGGAATGTACCCATACTGAGTCGAAGACACTGGCCCCGCGGCATTGAGTACGAAAGCTGGATCGGGAAGACGTCTCTTAATCCATGTCCACCGCAATGGATAGCCGGCTTACATGCGATGGTTTTGAGCCCGCTTTTCCTAGACAGTCCCTGCGTCATGATGCCTCGAGACGAAGTTTCCCTGACTCCCAACCTGTTCAAGAAGATCATGTCGATGAACAGAATTGAAGGCATTAGGTAAGTTTTGACTGTACGAAGTGCATGTGAGACATATACTGACTTCGTACCTCTACCTCTGCAAGATGCCCTCCATTCACTATCAACAGCCTCTACGCGGACCCAGAAACTCGACAAATGCTGAAGTCACTGGACTTCATTGTGTACACGGGTGCACCCTTGGATCGAGCGATTGGGGACGACCTTTGTCAGCATACGAGATTGAGTCCGATGATTGGCTCCACGGAAAATGGAGATCAGATTGGCCTACGACCAGCCGATAGAAAGCTCTGGTATACCCATGACTTTGTTCCAGAAAATGGTCATAGGATGGTGCCTTTGGACGCAGGCTCGGACGATCTCCACGAGCTCATATTGGAGCAGGTTGGAGACGGGCGTACCAATCCTTTCCAAACAAGCTTCTGGAACACAGCACATCGTTTCCTGGAGCGGATCAAAACGAAGGAGCTCTACAGGCCCGTCAAGGACTCCGATGGTCGCACGCGATGGGCGTTTTCTGCCCGCAAAGACGACTTGACGAAACTGAGTTGGCTGGCAAAGTTCCATGCGCAGGATATTGAAAGGCGTATTCTGCAACAACCAGACGTACAGAATGTGCTGGTAGGTGGGGAAGCCCGGCCTGCGCCGTATGTTATCGTTCAGGCAAAGGAAGGTGTGCTGGACGGAAAGAGCGAGGTGCAGCTGCTTGATGAGCTTTACGATGGAGTGGTTGCTGCCACCAATAAGGCTGACCTGAATGAGATCAGAATTCCTAGGGAAACTGTTATGATCGCGAAGAAAGAGAAGCCGCTCAAGGTCAGCTTGAAGCAGTTGGTCCAGAGGAAAGCTGTTGAGCAGGACTATTCTGAGGAGATTGAGCAGGCATATGTGCAGCTAGAGAACAGCAGGAAGCCTTAGGCCCATCAAATGATACTTGACTTCTCCAGCAGCAGATTCTTCTTCGTGACATGTTGTTTGGTGTGGTGTCTTAAGTCGAGTCAGCCGATCCTAGGTGCCTAGGAAGGCGCGTCTGGCAAAACGCGCTAACGGCATGAACCTCGGCTTCGCCAGTGATGATGTCGGCCGTTGCGGTTGAGTTACTCCGCATTTCAGGAAAGAGCGGCCATAAACCTTGAGGTGTCTTCTCAGCTAGAAGATCAAAATCCCTGATTTATTTTCCAAGTGAACGCGGTATTTTAAGTACAATGTCTTACTCCAAGCGCATCGATCAAATTGCAGGCCATCTCAACTACCCTAAGGGTATGTTGGCTGGCCAAACTGCCATTATTACGGGTTCAGGACAGGGAATTGGCGCCGAGGCTGCGAAACTGTTTGCGAAAGAAGGCGCGAAGGTTGTGGTTGCCGATGTAGATGCCAGTAAGTCAATGCAGTCGCTGCATGCGAACACGTGCTGATGATAGTGTAGAGAAGGCAGAATCGGTAGCTGCGGAAATCAACGAGTCTGGTGGCAGCGCCCTGGCTGTCGCAGGCGACGTGCTCGACGACGCCTACATCAAGACGCTTATTGCAAAGGCCGCTGAGTTCGGAGGCGGCAAAATCCACATCATCGTGAACAACGCCGGCTACACATGGGATGGCGTCATCCACAAGATGACGGACAAGCAATGGCACACGATTGTCGACCTGCACGCGACAGCACCTTTCAAGATTGTGAGGGCTGCGGCGCCATACTTCAGGGTCAAGGACGGCGAGCCGAGGAATATCATCAACATTTCCAGCACAAGTGGTGTAAACGGCAACGCTGGACAAATCAACTACGCGCTGGCGAAGGCGGGTGTAACCGGCATGACCAAGACCATTGCGAAAGAGTATGGCTCTCCCCTCACTCCAACGTATTCTCCTCTAACGTGTCTTCAGATGGGGCCCTCAATTCGGCGTGCGCTCCAACACAGTAGCCTTTGGACACATCCAGACACGGTTGACGGCGGCCAAGGAGGCGGGCGCATTCATTACCACGCCCGACGGCGAGAAGGTAGCGCTGGGAATACCACAGGCGCAAAAGGCAGGCGCAGGGCAGGGCCAGGAGCACATGGACATTCCTCTGAGGAGACCGGGCACGGCGACCGAGGCGGCGAGTGCCGTGCTGGCGGTTGCGAGTCCGCTGTTCAGCTATGTAAATGGAGAGACGATCAAGGTGACTGGAGGACGTGGCATGTAGAAAAGTGCAAGCCTCGTGCGACAACTGACAAACTTCTTTCCAAGCTCAAACACATGCCGTGGTGATGGAGTCGCAAAGATAGTCAGCTATGGTTTCAACTACCAAGATCTTGGACAGGGTCTCGGCACCCATGTTCCGCTCCGCCATCCCCAGATGCTGGATGCACATCAGCCACCTGCATCCGACAAGACGCAGCCCCTCGTCCGCCTTCTTCTTGCCTGTATTGATATAGTTGTCGTCGTTCCTTATACCCGTCCACCATGTACATGCCCAATCGATAGCCCATCTACCCGATTACCCTTCAAAGCATACGCGTACGCAGCATTCGCTTCCTGCGGACTATTCGCCGCGGGCGAGCGAGCATCCCTTTCCACGACACCGCGCACCACGTGTACGACGACGCCCTCACGTGGTTTTAGCTCGCCATGAGCGACGAGAAACATGGCTACGTCCGCGAGCCATCTCCGCCACCCATCCCCACATACGACGAGGCAACTTCCTCGCGCAACGCCCCTGCGCGCCTCGGGCCCAACGAGACCAGCGACGATGCCGAGCGGCAAGGCCTCCTGAGCCCGGATGTGCGCATACAAGCCGACCCGCGCAGGCGCAACGGATACTACCAGGCCCCCTCCGTACAGTCGGTCGACGACGATGGCGACTCGGATCTCGGGAGTCCGGTGCGCGAGAGCCAGGACGAGGACCTGCGCCAGACCATGGAGGAGATGGACATTCTAGATCCAGAGTCTGCTGAGGAGGGGCGCTCGAGGCGGAATCGATCAAGAGGCAGGTTCTCGAAACGCTTCTACAGCATCAGACATTCCCTATCGAGTTGGAATCTGCCGCGAATACCCTGGCCCAGCTGGCGTCCCAACTTCAGCGCCATGACGGACCACATACCGACGATACCGGAAGAATACAAGCCGGGATGGTCGATTATCGCGCGATTGTTCGGTCTCATACTGATCATCGTTCTGGTATACCTGCTGGTCGTCAGCGAGGTGGTGCCCATGGGCGGAGGATTCGGCACGCCATTCAACCCCGAGTGGGTGCGTTCGACGGCTATGGAGAGCGTCGAGAGCTGGCGAATTGAGAAGAATCTGGAATACATTACAAGCTACGACCACATAGGGGGCACTGAGGGGAGTTATGTGCTGGGGCAGTGGATCGAGGGCAAGTTCAAGGATGCGCACATGGACACATATACCCACGACGAGTACGTTACACATTGTGAGACGCCACAAAGGATCACGCTAACTTCAGCAGGTACTACGTATACATGAACTATGCGAAGAAGGGCGGACGGAGAGTCGCCATCGTCGAGCCACAGGACAAGAAGTGGGAGGCCAAACTCGAAGAGCCGTCCGTCTTCAATCCTGCCAAAGCGCAAACGCCCGCCTACCATGGCCTATCTGCGACAGGAAACGCCACCGGGCCCTTGATATACGTCAACTACTGCGACAAGAAAGACTTCAAGCGATTATGGGATAGCGGGGTGGACGTACAAGGTGCGATTGCGCTCTGCCGATATTACGGAACACAGCCAGATCTATCAATGAAGATCAGGGCCGCGCAAGATGCTGGGGTTGTGGGAGTCTTGGTATATTCAGATCCAGCAGATGACGGCTTCAAGAAGGGGAACCCCTGGCCAGATGGCAAGTGGCGGCCTGGAGACAGCGTGCAGCGAGGATCCGTCGCACAGACAAACATGATTATGGGAGATGTGCTCACGCCTGGACTCCCGAGCTTCAAGAAGGTGGAGCGCATGCCCCGAGACAAGAACCCGGCCTTGCCGAAAATCCCAAGTCTACCGCTCTCGTGGAAGGATGCGCAGAAGCTGCTTAAGTCGCTGAAAGGCTCAGGCGAGCAATTGCCAGATGAATGGATTGGTGGTGTACCGGATGTTGGCGAGCACTGGTATTCTGGTCACCCAAAAACTTCGCCAAAGGTGTTTTTGCAAAACGACCAGGACGAGGTCGAACAACAGCGGATCACCAACGTTTTCGGGTCTCTCAAGGGCAGCGAGGATCCGGCTAGCAAGATCATAATCGGCAACCACCGCGATTCCTGGTGTTTCGGTGCGGCAGACCCTGGCTCTGGCACGGCTGTCATGCTCGAAGTTGTACGTGTACTAGGTGAGTTGCGCTCGCAAGGATGGCGACCGCTCCGCACAATCGAATTTGCGTCCTGGGACGCTGGTGAATACAACAGAATCGGCTCTACCGAGCATGTTGAAGCCAACGTACAAGCCCTCCGAGATAGCGCCATCGCCTACCTGAATGTCGACGTAGGCGTAACGGGTGACAAGCTGTGGGCCAAAGGCTCTCCGATCTTCCAACACGCCTGGACGCGCGTGCTCGACCGACTTTCCGACCCCCGGGAGAACAAGACTATGAAGGAGCTGTGGGAGACCTCGGACTCCAAAATTGGTAATCTAGCTGCTGGAAGCGACTACGTTGCTTTCCAATCCATCGCTGGTACCTCCTCACTCGACTTCGGCTTCACCAGCAAAGAGGGCCAATCAAACCCCATCGCGCGCAGCTGCTACGAGACTCTCTCCTGGATGCGCAAATACATTGACCCCGGTTTCGCTTATCACGCCGTGCTCGCCCAACTCTGGGTTCTTCTCATCCTCGAGCTCGCTCAAGAGCCCATCATTCCTATGAAGATTGATGACTACGCCCGCGCTCTGCAGGAAGAAGGCCAGCAGTTGTTGGACTGGACCGAGAAGAAGAGCGGTGGTGGCGAGTACGACATTGAGATGTTCCAACCTCTGGTCGACAGTCTGAGCATGTTCAAGAAGAAAGCAGAGACGTTCGGTCGGTGGGAACAAAGTTGGTATAACCAAGTCTATGCCACTGGCGGCTTCGAAAGTAGCGGTGTCACAATACAGAGGGTAGGCCACAATGGCAGGATCGCGGGTTTCGAAACAGACTTGCTTGATCTTGCGAGGGGAAAGGACGACAAGGGGCCGCATGGTGTAAGTTCCTCGCCTCACCGATATGTGAGGTCATCATTGACTAATTCACGAACAGCTTCCCAACCGCGACCAATACAAACACGTCGTCTTCGCCCCGGACCTCAACAACGGCCTTGAAGCCAGCGTCTTCCCTTTCGCACGCGAAGCAATCGAGAAGAAAGACTGGGATGCCGCATCCAAAGCCATCAAGAAGACGGCTGATATATTGAACCGCGCGAGCGACAGGCTCGGCTAAGATATGTGTGTATATGTACAGCAGAGTTGCATTTCCGCGGTGTTTGGGCGTAGCAGAAGACTGGCTGCATAACTTATTGGGTCAAGGATATATCTCGTATTTAGTGCCGGGCCTCGGCTTTTTCATATGGGTGTCATATTTATCTCTGTTTGGTGAGCGTCTTCATGACCGCTAGCTAAGAGACTATTTGTTGGGCCATCTTTTCACGTGCTTGTGCTAGCCCGACTCTGTCCACGTCTATATAGATCTATTCTTTGTGCTCTTCTGCTTCAATTACCTTATTTCGCCATCTTCATGAACAAAAGGTATGCAGACCTTCACATGTCGGCGAAATATCCTGTTCTTTCCAAAATATATTCGTTTTCTGCATGATGGCTTCTCGTCCACGCGCTCAGTATTCCAAGACGCGGCCTAGGCGTCGGTCTGTTTTTCTGTGCGCGCCTCACAAAAAGCCACATATCACGCATGCATGTCCCTCTTCCCTTCTTTCAGGAAGTCGAACACGAGTAGCTGTACGATCCTCTCAAAGATCTTCAATTCTAATAATGCATCGATTTGGGTTTCTCTGGCTTCTACTTGGGCCGGAATGAAATTTATAGCAAACTCGGCCATGACGATCGACTGTCTCGCCGTTCTTGACAGTCTTCAAGCATCAAAAATCCATGCGACAAAGTGATGGATTTCGTGGACTGTCCTTTTCGAAGACCGAAAGCTGATGACCATGTCTGCCCTGTCTCCCTCTCTTTCGTGGTGCGAAACGTCGAGTTTCAGATACACTTCATCGGTTATCTCCCATCGCCTACCGTTGCTCAAAAGCGAATCAAAATACCTCCTCCGATTTATGGATGCCTCTGCATATTCTCGAAAAACCGATGGGAGGTGTGATGCAGACTTCAAAACACCTAGCTTCCGAGTCTATGGTCTTCGTTGCATCCCGCAGTGTTTACAAGTGTCCAATGCTTCATGTAAAAGCTGGCAGCTAGTTCTAAAGGACGATATCGAACTACATCCGAAGAGGAATAGAGTTTGGTGTGAGTGATATATAAGTCGCTTGCCTGCTCGATACCCAACTCATACCATCATCCTCATCGTCTCCGGGTATCCAAAAAACTACCTGCTCAAGTGGATGTCTGTTTCCTCGGGAATCTTTTTCTAAAAAGCCACAAGACATAGCATGGCGCTTCTTCTCTTAAAGATGACTATAGTGAAGTTATGGTTCTGTTGTTGTCCCGCAACCCTCCAAAAGCTTTCCTCGTACCCTACATGTGAGCTGTGGAATCGAAGCAAGTTTCGAGCAGATGCATGACTGTTCATGCGATACACAACTTCAATACTTCTCACTCCATCTCTCAAGGAAAGCTTAAATATCTTTACCAACACGTCATGTGCAGTCTCTCAAACATAGCAAGCATAGAAGAATGGAGAGAGATCCTGTCGCTCTTTCGACTGAGGGAGTACAGGTACTTTGTTCGGAGAAAGCCGTTCCTCATCTGTTGCCTAGTGTGCACTACCCGAGCGGACGAGCTTGAGCAAAACGCGAGATACGCTGGCAGATGATCCAGAGACTTGATCGTACTGCCTTTGTATAAAGATCTGAAACTAAAGCGGCATGTTTGAGTGGAACTACGTTTGCCACGTGCCTATGACGGTCTTCGGACTTGAGTACAAAATCTTCGCCGTCTTGCTAGATCGTCTTTTCTACAACGTTGAATAGGCTGGCTCGTTCCCTGGATCAAACGCCTTAATAAGCATGGAGCAGGCCAAATCCTCTTTCCAAAATCTTCCCTAGGAGTGCCCATGGTTTGATATCGAGGTCGCTACAATATTGAATTGGCAGTCGCGTGCCACTGGATGATCAGATACGGAGTCAAATGTTTCGATTCAATTGGTGATTTGGGTCATGAGCTGCCAAAACAGGCCAAATTGAAAGACATGTCTTTTCCCTTTGCTCACATCTTTCTCTGGGCTCAATTTCTGGATTTGAGCGGAAGTAGCCCCTACACGATTCAACAAGGTATAAAGAGGCGCCCGCTGGAGTGATACACCTTCATTCTTGTCAAGTTCGCATTGAAATAATTCTCCGAAAGAGTTAGAGGAGACAGTCATGTTGTTGCCTCTAGCTCGGCAATTGAAAGTCTCGCTTCTACCAGGACATGTTCGTAGGTGGACCTGGCTGTACACAAAAAAGAATGTCGAATCCGCAGTAATGGCTATCGTTTGGTCTTATTTCCTACCTGTTTGCATCTGCGGAGTAAGCAGAAGCTGGGGAGATTGCGGGGTAGAAAATGCCTGGCCAGGTGGGAAAAGAAAAGCGTGGCGGTTCTGAGCGATACCTGGAAAAAGACGGCTACATGTTTCCTGTCTCTTGCATGGCTTACACCGTACATTGGCATGCTTCAAAAAAATCCCACGATTCTAGGCCTGGAGGAAGTATGCCCATCGCTTACGTGCCGGAAAGCTGACTACAATGACGCTTCGTTTAATCGCAAGGCGGGGGTGCCAGCTCCGAGAACGATACCAACGATCGACGATCGAGTAGCATCCGAACGTTTGGGGCGCATATTGTGTCTCGCGTCCTGGTGTGCGACAGCGGCTTCGCGATAGTATGTTAGTAGTATGAACCTCTGTCGGCGCAATCTCTTGCTGTGTGAAGCCGAAAGTTTGTCTCATGGGCTCGAGCTCGCTTTCCTGGTGAGGCAAGCAGCAACCTCAAAGGTACCGGGAGCCCGTAGATCTGGTAGCAGGGTCAACGTGCGAGTAATGATGGTGCAAATCTCCACGTTGTGACTGTGTGAAGCGAAGCCCATGTCCCAGCTGAACACTGCCGCGGCTGCAACCGAAAAACGTGGAGTCAGGCAGGCGCTAACGACGCTAAGTGGCTGCTAGCTGTCACACATCAATCCTTCAGCGGCATCTCGGCCGCGCCGACAAACTTCTCATAACAACATCGGCGCGTGGACAAAACAACGCACTGGTCAGTCATGCTGTTCTGTCATCGCTTGCATCTGAGTTCGGGTCCTTGTTCTACACATACCTGAGCGCTGCGTTGGCCAGCACGCCACCACAGGACGCCATGCAACTTCTAGATTGACCAAAAGAGCTTTTAGAAAAGAAAACATGAAGGATCTCGTCAGGTACCGGTCTGAGGTGCCGCTAACCGATGCGCTGCACAACACATCTCTCGCTTCGAGCGCAACTCATCCGGTGAAAATGAAAGCGCTCTGAATTCGATACAGCCATCAAGCCCAAAACACCTCATCGCGTTAGCGTTCAGCCCTAGCACCCCTGAGCAAATCAGCCCACGCATCGAAGAGTGCCGCTTGGGATATTCGACTATTCTCACTCGCACGGAAGCTCATCCGCTGACTAGACAAAACATCAGGCCCATGATGCCAAGTCTCGTGGCTTGCGTTGCTGGCCTCGGGAAAGTTGTAGCGTTGCTGCATTTGTTCGATGAAAAAGCCACCAGCTGAACTCTCAGCACAATGTGGATTTTTGGAAGGCTAGAATGGCTCGACATAGGAAACTTTGCTCGCTTCTTTGCTTGGGGAAATAGACGACAAGGTGGTGTGATGGTTTGTATAAGGAGACCGATGCGCCGCGATGGTGTTGAGGTGTAACTGCATCCCCCAGGCGCTACAAATACGCTCACACTCGTTTTAGTCTATAGCAATTAGCTGAACGACATACCACGTTGACGTACATTCATATAAACCTCTTCCAATCATCGTCACTGCCTTCTACAGCATCGGTCAACCACACCTCAGCCAACGCCGACCACCGTCTTTCGATCACAATGTCAGGACCGTCAGGTAAACTCGGCGGTCTTTCCACCAGCGTCGTCGCCATCATCGCTGTCGGTGGTGTAGCAGGCCTGCTAGCCCTCATCGTCGTTACGTCTCTCATCTTGGACATACCAAAGCGTATGAAGCAAAAGAAGAACACTGGCCTCATGGCACCGGAAGAAATGGAGAAGAAGAGTGTAGAGATTGACGACGCGGAAAAGGGTGCTATCAAGCAAGCGACAAGAGAGATATCGGTTCAATCTCCGAGCTTGTATTCAAGCACATATATTGCTCGGCCAGTGTCGCCAGAGTGTCAATGCGCCCACCCATCGATAGTCGTACATCCCTCGCCAGTCTATTCGAATACCACAACGTTAAGATGAGTCTATCGGCACTCCATTCTATCTCCTACGACACCTTTTTGTGGATACTTTGTCCATTCGCCCACGTCTACACCGCCCGGGTAGGATCGGGTCAGAGGACATTTTACATTCCAAGGTTACCTTCGGTGTTAAGACCTGAAATGTTCTTATAGCCTTTCAAAAAATTTGTCCAGATAGGACGAGAGCGTCACGGCCGGAAGTTTGATACCCTGTTTGATGGATGTTCGGAGTTAACTTTTATCACCGCTGGGTAACACGAGGTTGCGTGTCATGATACCACGCGAAAGCCCATACACCACGGTCTAATGCCTGCCTGAGTACAATGATCGGACATTCTGTAGTATACCAAGCAGATTCTTCTCTTCTGTCATTGCGTTTCGGGACATCATTCGGCCGAATCGCATGTGTTACACAACACCTGCATGATCGCTTCGATGCAGCACGATAGATTGCAACTGTCCACAATTGCTCGGCGTCAGCACTTACGATAGGAATGAAAAAATCAAGATCACTCATCAAGAAAGAAGACCATTGTATTTCGTCGAAACCTCTATGATCCATTCAGACGTGCAATGTTGACACGCTGCGCAGTACGCACCTATGCAGGCTAGTGCGAAAGGAGGTCGTCGGTATTTCCGTAGCGCGCATCTCACGACAATCTTCTGATGAAGCGGGATTAGCACTGTTAACGCATAGCATCGTCAGCGCAAGAAGTCTTAGGTAATAAGCACTAACAAGGCGAGGCCACCGTCATCCTCGACGTTGCCCAGTTGTGTATCTAGTCCGGACGACTTTTCGCCCTATCAAGGCAGCAGTCATGGCCGCTCCGAAACATGCGGGTGCGACTACACGGTACTACCGCTTACTCACGCATGATAAGATGTGGAGATATACTCAGCAGGTATAAAGACTGAGTATTCTTTGCACGTCAAAGTCAGCAATTGAACCGGAACACACGAGCTTCAACCTCTTGAAGTCTCTTACGATCTTACTGCACTCCCAATACCTCCCACATTCACTACGCTGAACACATCATCCAAGATGGCAGACTTCAAGCCGTACAGCGAGCAGCCCGAGCTCCACGCCAAAGCACCCTACCGTGCCGCTATGCTCACGCAACCTGCAAACCTCAAGCAAGCACTTAAAGACGCTCAGGCAGATGCGAGTAAGACCCTGATGGGCATCGCGCAGGGTATCCCAAGTACCTTCGTAACCAAATTGATTGCCTCCACCAAGCCAGACTTCATCTGGATGGATGTTGAGCACGGAATGTACAACAGGCTGACACTACACGAGTAAGTTTTCTTCGGTTTAATCGTGACAAGACTCTGAGGATTTGAATACACCTAAGGGAACAGATGCTAACGATTACGATAAAGTTGCATTCATGCCGCTCAGCATCATTCCGAGGGTAAATCAATGGTCATCTGCCGCGTACCCAAGCACGATGAGCTGAGTCTCACCACCGCCCTTGACGCAGGATGCGCTGGTATCGTCATCCCCCATGTTGAGAGCGCGCAAGAAGTTCGTGACTTCATCAAGGAAATGTACTTCGGCGGTATGTCCTCCATATCCTGACCTTCGCCTCCTATACTAACACGGTATCTATAGGCGGCAAAGGCCATCGTTCATTCAGCCCGTGGGTCTTCACGCCTGGCTTGACGTCGTCCCTCTACCCCAACGACCCTTACAACGTCCAAACCGCCAACAACCACGTCTGCCTCATCCCCCAGATCGAATCCTTGAAGGGTCTTGAGGCCTGCGAGGAAATCGCCGCCGTTGAGGGCATCTCTGGTCTTATGTTTGGTCCTGGCGATTACATGATTGACGCTGGCATGGACATTCATTCATTCATGAACGGAAACCCCGATCCGAAGTTCTTCGAAGCTATGGGCACATTCAATGCCGCGGCTGCCAAGTATGATCTGCCAATCTTTGGGTACGTATATCGCATGTTACTTCGTGTTGGGCCAGACGGCTGACGGGTGCTTTAGTGGTGTCATGGGATTGGATCAGATACCCATGGCTATCCAAACTGGTATGCGAGGTATCGCAGTGCAATTCGATGTCTGGGGTACTACACGGCTCTTTGCGAGTTCTTTGGAAGCGGGCTGGAAACATGCGAAGAGCTTTGAGGGAAATCCGAAGCCGAGTATGGCGAACGGACAGGCGAAGCCAGCCGAGTAGGTAGAGGCTTATGACTGCTATCGCAAGAGAGGCATCTCATCTTTTTCCTATGACTTTCGCCCGCCAGCAGTATTCCGTGATGCACAAGGCTGAAGACATCAGGCTGGCAAGCTCAACCCCGATGAGTAATTCTTCCAACATCTCATCCGAAAAAGCACACTCATTGGTGAGGCCTCGCTAGGTATTACTACATCCGGTCCCTGGCTGTCCAAAGGCTGAGGTTTTATCGCTATTATGAGAACAGGCGCCAATTATAGGAAGAAGTGTAGTAGTTGGCTGAAGTGAACGGCTGGTGTGGTGTGGGGGCCGTCCGAGGGAGGTATGATTATCTTCTCGACTTCCCCCTTGCCGGTCTTCTTATCTCCTCGTCCGTTGTTATCGTGTAAATTGACGAGGCAACTTCAGACTCGTCGGTATCTTGTTTACTGCGAGCGTTCAGGCAAACGTGGCTCCAGATCCCTACATTGCAAGAATATGTCCCTCTTTCTCTCCGCGTTCATCACGACGCTTCCCCTGGCGGTTGTGCCGTCTTCTACAACACCTTCGGTGTCGCTTGTCACGACGCAAAGGTTCAGCTCGACTCTAGGGACCTTCCCGATCACCGTTGTCTTCCCTTCCTCATCTTATGCTTCCTCTTCAACATCCGTTGCAACAACAATCCCAGCTACACTATCTTCAGTGACACCTTCCTCATCCGCACTTCCACCACCGAACACCATTGCGCCAGCCTCAACCTCTCCCAACACAGGCTTATCGAGCGGGGCAATCGCCGGCATCAGCATCGGAGCCATACTTGGGGTTCTTCTTATCGCAGTCGCCGCTTTCCTACTTGGAAGACGCAGCTCTACTCATCGGTCACCGGCGAGCGACCTTGTTGTCACTGAGCGCGATGTTCCGATAGGTGGATACAAGGCAGAATCGGACGGACAGGAGAGAGCAACAGCGAAGCTTGAAGGACGAGGCATTGCGCGGTGGTGGAGCAAGAAGTTCAGCAAGAACCTGAAAACGAGGGCTCTGAGCGAGGCTGAACCACGAGAGTTCTCGGCTGAAGAGGCTAAAGGTGAAGGTTATGTGCGACAGGTACGGGTGCGAGACGAGGATTTGCCAGAATTCCGTGGGGTCTGAATGTCTTGTCTGAGAAGTTTGTTAACAGTATTAAATGAAGCACGTTTCCCAGTCGCTCTTCCATCGCTGTTGCCACCGTGCATGACCATCGGAACACGCGAAGTGAGCAGTGATATATGGTAAGGATGGATCCGAGTTTACCGTAGTGCTGGGCGACAATCCTGAAAGCGATCGTTGCAGCGCACCCCAAAAGAGGATATAGATCTTCCTGCCAGGTAAGGCGTCCGATGTGACGAGGCTGAGCGTGCTCCGCATCTTGTGAGTCTGCCAATCAGCCTTACCGGTTGGCGGGGCGGTTCCTCGCGTGCATACACTTTTCCTGAAGCAGCTAGCTCGGTGCTACTCCAACGAGAGATGGATGCACATAGCCCTGTGTTGCCATCACTGTGTTGTGATATAAGTAGAACGAGTAGATCGTCTCGCATACATAGTTAGTGCTTACTGCATTTCCTTGACACAGGATCAATAAGTATACGTCAAAGCGGAATTGTATATCAAGGGATTATACCCATCCCATCTTCATGTCCTTCCCAACTTCAGTATCGATTTCAGATTGCGAAAGAGACTCATCCGGAAGCTTAGTCTGTATGTCTAATCCAAGTAGCGAATTCGGTCAGTATGCCTGCCTCCCTCACACATTTGAGTCTCTAATATGACGCCAGATGCCAGCCGAAATGATATGAAAGACACCTTCGGTGAGTCCGACCTCCGAATTTGCAGCCGTTTAATTTGACTGACATCAAATCAGACAAAGCCGTCGACGCGCAACAGAGGATGATCGGCATTGGTGTGGGTGTCGGAGTAGGACTGTTTCTTCTCTTCGCCGGCCTGGGTTTTTGGGCTTTCCGACGACATAGCAAGAAACGCTCGCGACAGATCAACCAGCAGGCGCAAATACAATCGGCTCTGATGCAACCGAGGATGCAACAGACGGATCCGCCGCAGTCCTGGATGAGGCAGGGCCAGGAAGTGGACGGCATGGCATACAGGAGTGAGGTCGAGGCTCAGGATAAGCAGCCTCATTACCAGTCACAACGCTACCAAGAGATGAACGCGAATCCGTATGGGAACCAGTTCCAGGGTGGTCCAATGGTCGAAGCGCAGGGAACGCGGGATCCTCAGGAAATGGCGCTGAACCAGAGGCCGCCGCAGGAGATGCCGGGGAACGGGGCCTTTGGACAGCGCTGAACTAATTAACGTTATAATTGTATCAATTATCCGACATTGACATGTGATGCGACAGATAACAACATGCTACATGGGTCGCAAAGTTCCAAGTTTTTGACGGTCAAGAGTTTGGATGAGTCCAGCCTGTCGCGTCTGCCAGCTTCGCGTCGCGGGAGCCGTGGTCCGTGCACGACCAGCCATCACCCAACCACCACATTTCCAGCCCTCGAGAAATTGCGCAGCACAACAGCAGCTATGGATCTAATAAACGGATACCTACATCGTGGTTCCCACACTGTCCTCTGCCAGCGCATACCCACACCGAAGCCGTGCTTAACACGTGTACACGACTATCAACGGCGCAGTCAATAAACCATCCCAATCCTTTCGATACCATGCTTCTCAACGCTCAGACTCTGGCACTGGCCGCTTTTTTCTCGACACTGGCTACCGGACGGCCTTTGGACTCGTCGAAGCCCCGCGAGATTGTCCCACGCAACAAGAGCTATTCGGTTGTCAATGTTGGTGGAGACGCCTCGACCCCGGTCGCAACTGCCACTTCGGTGATCAAGACGACGAAGACGGTCGAAGTCGTCGGACCGGCACAGACTGTCACCCAAGAAGTCACTGCGACTGTCGTCCAGCCTCAACCGGCGCCCGCGTCGACATCTAGCTGCAGCTCGAGCAGTGTGTTGAGATCGTCGTCATCGTCAACACCCACACCAGTCTCGTCTACTCCTACGCCAACACCTACATCAACATCATCGGTCAAAACTACATCAACTCCTAGCCCATCGGTTCCTTCGCCAACATCAACTGCAACACCGACGATCTCAGGCCTGTCTTCCAGCAGCATCTCAACGCCAGTTGAGACACCGAAGCCAATCTTCGTGACGGTCACGCTTTCGCCAGACAACGGCCCCACGGAGTACTATGATGATGGCATGTGGCACACGCATTACCGCGTGAAGACGTTCGAAGCCGCTGCAGCTGTCACCGCGGCGCCATAGCTACCTGTGTGATGTCTGCGGTCCAGGCTTCTTTGGTGTTTTTGCTTTGGCGGCAGACTGGCTCGACCCGCCTGTTCCTTTCTCCCTGTGTTTTACGATATACGAATAATGGCCGGAAGCCAGCCTAGTACGGCGAGGAGTTATATTATGAAGATTAGACACGTCTGTGAGACGAATGCCGATGTACCAATAGATTAAATAATAGACGCATGCACAAGCCCAAGTTCTGACCTGGCCGAGTGATGGTGGATGATGGTGTGAAGGCTGATGACGCAGGTCGAAGGGGAGCTTGCATCCCTGCGTGCTTGGCGAACGGTTACACCCAAGGCGGCGGTGCGTATCCACGACGAGCTCTCCACACCCCCGGACGATCCGCCTCTCTCGCTCACAATGGCGTCGCCGCCCCCCGTAGAAGACCAGGCCCGGCTGCTCGAAGATGCCCTGGCCGTGGTGCGCCAGCAGACGATGCTCATGCGGCGCTGCCTCGAGACGCCGGGCAAGCTGATGGATGCGCTCAAGTGCAGGTACGCGCCGACATACTCTAAGCTCCGAGGGCCCCTCTGGTGATGTTTTGTGTGTGCTAATGACCCCCATGATAGCTCGACCCTCGTGTCGGAACTGCGCACCAGCAGCCTCGGCCCCAAGCAGTACTACGAGCTGTACATGGCCGTCTTCGATGCCCTGCGCCATCTCTCCGTCTACCTGCGCGAGAACCACCCCGTCAACCACCTCGCCGACCTCTACGAACTCGTCCAGTATGCCGGCAACATCATCCCGCGCCTGTATCTCATGGTCACCGTCGGCACCGTCTACATGGCCATTGAGGATGCGCCCGTCAAGGAGATCATGAAGGACATGATGGAGATGAGTCGCGGCGTCCAGCACCCCATCCGCGGCCTCTTCCTGCGCTACTACCTGGCCGGCCAGGCTCGCGACTGCCTTCCGTCGGGCGACAGCGAGGGGCCCGAGGGCAATCTCCAGGACTCCATCAGCTTCATCTTGACCAACTTTGTCGAGATGAACAAGCTGTGGGTGCGCCTGCAGCACCAGGGTCATTCCAGGGAGCGCGAGCAGCGGACCAAGGAGCGCCAGGAACTGCAGCTCCTCGTGGGCAGCAACTTGGTCAGGCTCAGCCAGCTGGTCGACTTGGACAACTACAAGAAGATCCTCAACCCGCTGCTGGAACAGATTGTGCAATGTCGCGATGTCTTGGCCCAGGAATACCTCCTCGAGGGTATGTATCGGATTGCCGACCTCAGGATATCACTAACACGCAGCAGTTGTCACCCAGGTCTTCCCGGACGAATTCCACCTGCACACGCTCGACCAGTTCCTCTCCGCCGTCGCACGCCTCAATCCGCACGTAAACGTCAAAGCCATCGTCGTGGGCCTCATGGACCGGTTATCGTCCTACGCGCAAAGAGAAGCCGAGTCGGAAAGCCCAGAGCAGCGCAAGAAGACGGAAGAGGAGTCAATAGCACAACTCATGGAGCAAATGCGGATAGCGAAGGAAAAGAAGGCCGCCGAACCCGAATCAGCGCCAGCGCAGCAGAACGGAGACGCAGAGGAACCCTCAGAGACGCAACCAAGCACCGAAGAAGACTCCGAAGAGGCATCGAAACCCGCAGAGACCTCCGCCGAGAACGACGAGACCCCAGCGACCGAGACAGATGGCGATATCGAGAAGAGACGCGGCATACCGAACAATGTCAAGCTGTTTGAGATCTTCCATGAGCAGGTCCAAACGCTGGTCAAGATGCAGCGGCTACCAATACAAGACACGATCGGACTATTGGTGTCTCTAGCAAATCTCGCCTTGTACGTCCCAGCATACTTCCTAAACCAGGCACGATACTAATATTCACAGGAACATCTACCCCGAAAGGCTCGACTACATCGACCAAGTCCTGACGTTTGCGAATCAAAAGGTCGCCGAATACGCGAACAGCGCCGACCTGCACTCGCAAGCAACTCAAAGCCAGATCCTCAGCCTCCTCCTTTCGCCGATCAAGACCTACATCTCTCTCTTTACCGCGCTCGCATTACCCAACTTCATCCCTCTGCTACATTCACAACCATACCCGACTCGGAGAGCCGTGGCCGGCGAAGTCGCAAGAAGTCTGATGCGGAATCAGACCTACATCGCATCCGTGGAGAACCTCGAGAGTGTGCTTGAGATCTTGAAGGTTCTCATTCGGGAAGGCATCCAGCAGGCGCAGGGATACCCAGGAGGACCGATTCAAAGACGGGCACAGGAGACGGAAGAGACGATAGAAGAGCAGGGATGGCTCGCGCGGATAGTACACCTCATTCGCGGCAAGGACAACGATACCCAATTCAAGGTGAGTTCAATCAACGTGCAGACAATAGTACGTACTAACAACTCCCATAGCTCCTCCAAGCCGCACGCAAGTCCTTCGCCGAAGGCAACGAGCGCGTCAAGTACACATCCCCCGCCATCATCACAGCATCACTCAAGCTCGCTCGGCAATACAAGAAGCGCGAACACTTCGAAGACAACTGGCAATCACAATCATCCGCTCTCTACAAGTTCATGCACAGTACACTGTCGACACTCTACACCCGCGTTACTGGCTCCGCAGACCTCTCCCTCCGCCTCTTCATCGCCTGTGGTCAAGTCGCAGATCAGAACGGCTTCGAAGAGGTCGCATACGAGTTCTTCGCGCAGGCGTTTACGATATACGAGGAGGCCATCAGCGACTCAAGAGCGCAGTTCCAGGCTGTGTGTGTCATTGCGAGTGGCCTACACACAACGAGGAATTTCGGCAAGGAGAATTACGATACCCTGATCACGAAGTGCGCGTTACATGGAAGCAAGCTGCTCAAGAAGCCGGATCAGTGTCGCGCAGTGTACCTCGCAAGTCACCTGTGGTGGGCGACTGAGATCAGGGCATTAGGCGAGGAGGACCCGAAGAACGTGAGTGAACCCAACCCGACTTTCAAGAAACCAGTACTGACTAGTACAGCTGTACCGCGACGGCAAGCGAGTGCTTGAGTGCTTACAACGTGCTCTCCGTGTGGCCGACGCATGCATGGATGCCGCGGTCTCAGTCGAGCTCTTTGTCGAGATTTTGAACAGATACGTCTACTACTTCGACCAAGAAAACGATGCTGTAAGTTGCCATCTTGCAAACTCCGAAGCTTTTCTAACGATTACTAGGTCACGACGAAATACCTCAACGGTCTCATCGAGCTCATTCACTCCAACCTACAATCCAACGAAAACGCTTCTTCGCTCGAGAACCCAAGGAAACACTTCCAGCGCACCCTGGATTACATAGCGAGTCGAGAATATGAGGGTGTGGTAACAGCGGCAAAGTAATGTTAGTGGGAAAAGGAGATGCGGCGCCTGTTTTGAGTGGAAGTCCTTGTACGACTAGATGGACATGGATATTGCACGCTCGTATACCAAGTACATAGTATGGGAAAATGGAGAATGCTAATGAAGCCGAACATGTTGTACCATAGCACGCATGTGCCAAGCGTCTTCATACCCACTTGCAAGCAATATGGTGATGACCAGCATCGCGACTATACGCAGCATCTGCCAATGCGCTAGGATGTATTTAAACTATCTCTACGCCTTTCTACTTCATCTCTCTGTCACCCTGGGAACTCGGTCTTTTCTCCAAAAAAAATCACCAGAATCCACACAATGGAGTTGCTCAGTGCCATCATTGCCTCAAAACACAGTTACTAATTCTATGGATTTTCCTGATCCGCCCAATGTTACTCTTGCATGACCAGCAACTACCCTAGAAGAGGAAAAATTGTCTTTGTTTCTTCTCTCCGAAAACTGCGAGTACTATTCATGTTGGCCGCTATCGTGTTTTTTGCATGAGGTACTATTCTGGAACAATTTTGGAAAATTCGGATGTTGGTGGCTGGTCGCGATTGCTGTATGCCTTGATTGAAGCTGTGGATAAAAAAACCAAAGCAACCATGGACGTGGGTTTGGGATTCCGGTGGACTCACTTTATCAGAAAACAGTCTTACAGTAATTCATGGACTGCTAGGAGGTTTGGCTGGAGTACAAAATATGTCATCTGCACTTTCATGGCTGGGAAGTCTTCTACAATTTACCATTTCATCTTCATCACCAGAAACTACTCGATGACGACGTATGAATTCCGCCGGTATTCCTCCAAATTACATCGAAGAGAATAACATGGATGTCCTTCTCCGTGTGGACTTCAGCGTCTGCCTTTAAAATGGTGTCCATGTGAATTGATGGTGTGCCTTCAGGCTTTCTCAAAACTGTCCACCACAGCCTACATAGGCCTTCTTGGGCCTCTTCATCATCTCAATGGCTTATACACCAGTAGCTTCTACACATCTGTTACCTGATTTGTAATAAAAGCCAAAGGTGGAATTCTGCTGTGATACTTGGAATGCGACTGTGGCAGACAATGAGAACAAAAAGTCATGCATGTTGATATAATGATCGCCATGTATGAAAAGTGAGGAAAGCGAAGGACGTGTCGCTGTAGTGCTGTGGGGTGCATCAAGAAATGTTTAAATTCCAATCTGGCTTTCTGATTCTTTCTCCTCGCATAAATTCCAACCCTTCTTCTTTTCAACAAAAAATCATCAAAGCCATGGGAATGTGTCTGGTCTCTCATTTCAAATCGAGCGTGGAAGCTTACGATGTCGTCCATCGATCTCATGATCAGGGCATGATGGAACTCAAACTGCTACATAGATTCATTCAAAAGCTTATATGAAGCTGATACGTCCTTCTGCAATACTCACATCTTCAGGCCATGGTCATATCAGGCAGCGCTCCTTTGTAAAACTCGTTACGCCCTTCAAAATCGAAATCCAACCCCGCGCATCCAAACTCCACCATCTTCTTGTCGAAGTTCTGGTACGTATACTCAATGAACATATCGATACCTGCATTGAAGTCAGGACAAACACACCTCAAC